AACTTGTCAGGCTAGTAGAGTCCATGAGTGTAGCAATTCTTATTATCTTATATATTTGACATTAGAATGCAGAGATTTCAAAATGTACCGGTACTGAAAATGTCCACTTCGGCATTTGCAATCTGTGCATTGTAAGTTGCTATGGAGATGCATTTCATCATTTCTTGTATGCATAATTGTTTCCATGCGGAACCTTCGAGGAGCACTGATTTAGTTTGCTTAGATATAGTGTAGCCACCTGTAGCTTTTGAAACATGTGTGAGTAGAAGCTGTGTCTTGCTGCCAGGTCTTCAGGGGTCAGTTACCCATCTCCCCATCAAGGAGGGTGGAGGAGGTCCAGTCTGCGTAACTGAAGCGGTGATGCACCCTGGTGAAAACACAAGCAGCCAAAACGGCATCCCACTACAGAGTTAGCCCCTACCAAGAGTGCCAGATGACACTGCAGGATATCACACAGTCTTGCGATGTCTCTAATTTTGGTGAATATTTTTGTCATTTTTGGTAAAAAGTGACATTTTCGACTTCTTGTTAAAAACCGCAAGTCCAATTGCTTTGATATTACATATATAGGTATTACATGTGGACCTCTCAGATTTGTTCATTTCATGATGATATCTTCAATTCTCTAATTTTAGTGAATATTTTTGTAATTTTTGGTGAAAAGTGGTATTTTTTTACTTCTTGTTGAATACAGCAAGTCCCATTGCTTTGATACTATACATATTGTTCATTTTCTAATGATGTCTTCAGTTCTTTAATTGAAATGTGCATTGCTAACAGCGGAACTATCTCAGCCGACAAGCTGCTTGTTTAGTGTTGCAAGGGAAACCAATAAAGGAAATTGAGGTGTTTTACAAATACCCTTTTTAAATTGTGTGTGTGCAACAAACAAGGAACAAGGAAGGGAATGGGTTTGGTGTGTCTGTCATGTGTGACAATCGGAAATCATGTTTTCAGTCACATCATAATGCGTTTTTCTTTTTTTTTGGCAATGAAACTTTGCAAATGATAGTGTTTTGATAGAAATTTTGCTTTTTGACAACAAATAATGCAACCATTTATGCCAGCAAATTTTTTATAATCACCGATTTTTTCTCTAAAAATTCAACGAGATCAAAATTTCATCGCAACTTTGTATTCTAAAAACAAGTGTTTTTTCAAAACTAATTATTTATCAAAAAAAACTTAGTGCTATCGTTCTGATTTTCCTCATGTTCAAGCAAAAACTAATCAGGTCTTGCACATTATCCCAGAGCATCTATGTACTAAGTTTTCTTAAAATCTGATAATTGGGTCTTAAGATCTTAGTGGAACAGCACACTAACCATTTTTATGGTATGGTGCAATAAGTCATGTGACCGTTTCAACCTTGCCAGCATCATCAAAAATGGAAGAGAATAGTATATTAAGCGAAAAATGTCTGTCGTTGTTGATAATACATGCAATTGTTAATGCGTGCACAATAACTTATTCTATTCCAAACTTTGTCACCTAATTCATCAGTATAAAATCTTCCCTTAGTTCAAGCAACAGATGTCCTGAGTGAACATATCATGCAAAAATTGAGGAAGTAGTAGTCAAAATCTGATAAAATTTTTTGACTGTTTCTGTTGGACTGATACACATTCAAAGGTCACTCGTCCCTCCATTGTTGTATGTGTTCAATAAAGTAAATCATTTATCTTGTAATCAATATCATTGGTAATGTATCTCAGAATCCCATAGGAATACTAGACTGGGTTTCACATGGTTTGTTGCACAGTCTGATACACATTTGCAAACCTACCAATAAAATCTTAACAGAAAACAAGATGTCAGAAAATCAATATAAGCACTCCTATGAATTGGGTGCCAAACCTTTGATTTAAAAACGTACTTCAAAAACAAAGTTTGTAGTGTTTGAAGATGTAGATTCTCAGGAGGCAACAGTACTGCTGACTTCTCTTTCCACTGGACACCAACTATTTGTATTCTTTGGCAATTCAACATCTGTTCATTGTCAACTCTGATTAGCTGTATGCTTTACATGCATTCCAATCACTATAACTATTTGAGTTGATTTGTATACAAAGCAGAGCTTGCAACATGATAGTTATTTCTAGAGGGATTTTTTAACTTTACACTCGTCACAAAATGAATACAATAAGGCAGTTCATATTTGTCTCAGTAAATCATCAAGTTTTGACAGACACCTAGACATAATACTTGGACTAAAGCCAGCTAAAATTTTCTGTTATCTTGCATGTTTTATGAATCTATTCACATCTAAATGCAGCACTTTTTTTCTGAGCTGAGGCATTTATTTTTATACTAAAATATCTGAATTACTTTGAATAAAGCTGGAAATTATGTTCCTTCAAATAATTAAACAAATTTAATAGCCACCAATGTTTTTGTAAGATATTTACATCAATCGAGGACATTCCGTGGACTGCTTTCCCACTGCTGTTTCAATCCTAAAACTTGCATTCAAAATTAATTATGACAATGCATATTCATATTGAAACAAACTAAAATAAAAGAAATATTATACAACAAGTCATTGTCAATGACACGTCCCCGTTTCGTTAATATTTAAGTGACATATACATTCAAAGCAGATCATGACCGAAATGCACCTGCATATGTACAACACATTGTACTAAATCTGAACAAAATCCATCCATGCATGACTGAGATCCGGTTCCGGAATTGTGAAAATACGTGATTTTGATGCATTTTCGGCCTTAAAATGGCCATCATTCATCTATTGTTAAGCGGATCATGAAACAAATGCACATATCTATTTGTGACATGATGTACCATGTGTGTGTGAAGTTTGAACTTGATCAATCCAGACATGTCTCGGATACGGATCCAGAACGGAATTCTTTAAAACAAAATGGCCGCCAGTCGGCCATTTCGAACCCGATCCAAAAAAAAAAAAATGACGTGCATCAAGGTCCTATTATGTTTAATGTATGTACCAAATTTGAACAAAATCCGTCCATGCATAACTGAGATCCGGGTCCGAAATGGTGAAAATGTGCGATTTTGATGCATTTTCGGCCTTAAAATGGCCGCTATTCGGCTATCGTTAATCGGATCATGAAAAAAATGCATGTGCATATGTCCCATATAATGTGTGATGTACGAGTGAAGTTTGAACTTAATCGGTCCATGCATGTTCGAGATACAGGTGATCACGGACGCACGCACGGACGCACACAGGGCAAAACATAAGTCCTCGTTTTCGGACTATGTCCGAACGGGGACTAACAAAGGGCAAGGTCACCAGAGTTTAACTATGTTTACTAGTAATATAGTAAATTTTTTCAAAGATGCTGCAACAAAATGTTCAGACTTATCAGCAAATTTATAGCTGACATACTGTTGAACCATGTTGCTATTGAGTTTGAATTTTTAAAACTTGAAATATTTTCACTTTCCATTTTTAATATCGAAACAGTAACTGATGAACATTACATGACCCCCCAACCTCTACAAATTTGCTGCCACATGAATTACCAATCAGGCACTGGGGGCATGTACTGCAGTGTCGTTGACTTTGCATGACACAGCTAATCATTCACATGTTTATTCACCAATATTGTTAGAGCATGCATTTCTAAAAATTGCTCCAACCCCCTGCAGGCTTCTGGGCTTGGATCCCATTATATTTAAGTCTTAGATGCCACACTATTGAGGGATGGTTACATGCAGCTCCTCAGAATTTTCCACTGAGATTGGTAATGGTACGATCCATCTGTCACCGATTCAGATCAAGGTCATTACATCACTAAAAACCCTGGCATTACAATCTAAGCTAATTATTTATTCTGAGCATGCTCAGTTGTTCTCTTAGTGCAGTAGGGATGAAAATCTTGAAAAAGACCCACTTAGCATTTTCAGATCTGTAAAAAAAAATTATGTGCATACTAGGTCGAGACTTGTTCATCAACCTGCCAAGTTTCATCGATATCTGCTGCTTAATTTGAGAAAATATTGGAGACTGAAAACGAAGATTGTTTTAGAAAGTCTAATAAACCAGACTTGGATAAAATAGACTGCAGGGTGTGGGCTGAATCAGTGCATGCATCCAAGTTGCATGTTCCACCAAGTTATTCAGGTGTAGACTCATCTGATTGCACCATGCTACTAATCAGGATACAAGTATCTGTACGTTTGGCTTTCTGGTTAGATTTGATTGACCTTGTTCCAATCTGGTGACAGACAATGTGAAAGGTATACCCAGCAGCAAATCGTTCCAACCAGTTGATCATGTGATCGGCATACACCAGCAGCACACGCAAACAAGCCTAGTGACCGAATACTCTAAAACCCACATTATGTGTAATTTCTATTCCTTCCAATACTGTGGAATACTTTATTTTCGCTGAAAAGGTATTTTGGGCGTTTTGCTTGGAATTTATTTTCACTGATTTTTGTTGAGATTAATGTAAAATATAGGAAAAAATGTATATTCGCTGGATTTTATTTTCACGGAATCATCCCTTCAGCAAAAATAAATTCCAAACGAAAATAAAGTATACAGTATATAAACAGTTTCACCAATTTCAAATACAAACAAATGGCATAGTACAGTGTACAGGATTTATTTGTACAAGGTTGGTAGTTTCTATTAAGATAATAAACACTGCTACACACAAAAATCAGTTTTAGAAAAGCAACAAATACAAAAATATTTGTATAAGAATACAGAAATGTTAATGTTTGAATGAAAACGAACATGACAGATACAATATTGCATGAAATAACAGAACTTGGTAATGCAACAATAAGCTTATCAGTACAAGACTTAGTTCAGACATTCTTAGCCAGTTAATTATAGAAAGGTGTACCTTTTCTGAAAGCTTGTGAAGAATTTTATTTCAGATTTTATAGTTGCATCTTTTAGTAACCCAGAATGTCTCAAACGCACCAACATTCGAATGATGTGGGAAAAATAGGTGTACATATATATTCAGACTGAAAAAAAATATATATAACCTACTTGCACAAAAAAATATTCACATTTCATTAACTATAGTTTTACAATAATCTGTACACAGACTGAATGTTTCCAGCAATTTTTACTTGCCAGGAATTCAGAGAATTGTCGTGCAGTTACAAGATCCGCACCATGATGCAACGAACAGTATTTACAATTTTCTACTTAAGACATTGCAGTACCTACTGGCACTTTCCGACTGATTATATTCTCCTGAAAGCTGATGACACCCCCTCCCCCAACTTAATCTAAACACCCACTACTTCTGGATCTTGAAACTACACACGACAATGTTAATTAGTTGAATTTTGGTTTTCAATGAAAATAATACTACCAGTTCAAGCACAACGATTATCACTATTAGGCCAGATATTCTACTTGGCATATAACACTCAGATTATCTGCGTTTGCTGTAAAGTAAACTCTTTTGCTAATGCCCTAATTTAAAGAGTACAATCTATATTAGAATTAAATGAATTTAAAGCAGGGGAGTCAACACCTGCGCATGCGTCAGATGGCCAGAGCATGTAATTGTTTACAAACAAGTGTCTATCCATGAGCCTTTGCGTTTTTAGCACGTGTTAACATCACTTGGGACTCAATTCCCATGCATGGATGGTGCAGTTGACGACCCTCTCGCTTTAATAAACAGGACTGCTGAAGGATTTATTCATTATAGTACCCCATCACATAAACCGAAAAATAGGATCTGGTCAATTCTGCTAAACAACTTCAAGTAACTGCTGTAGGCCACCCACTGTAGGTTATTGTATTCTGCTAGCAACAGAAATTCTATGGTGATAGTTTTGTAGTTTAACTTGAAGTTTATAACTCAAGTCATTAAAGAAATGTACAGTTTACAGCAGATTATGCGAGGAACACAAGAAATGTGCAGATCATTTTAAACCAAAAAGTGTAAACATCACTATTAAATGAGAACATTGAGAGTATAAAAAGGTAGAAATCAGTATGCGTCTTAGTCGCGTTTGAATAACGTACCAAGCGTGCGTATATGGTACACAAATGAATATGTAACGATTGCTAACAAGATACAATGTAACATATCAATGCTTTGAACTTAAAGAATGATGTCTTACATTAATCAAAATTGGTAATAACTTGTTTATAATGAGTGTGGGGCAGCGGCTGCTGCTGCCATAAAATCCTTCTGTATTGTCACAAACGAGTCAATTCGGTAAAACACGGATAACTATGAAGTGGACAGATCAACTATTTTTAGTAATATAATCCTTATATTGCAACATACTAATGCTTGGAAACTTAGTATCCTCGGCACCAACCATAGATATGTTGTTAGTGCTCTGAAGTGTCATCTTTCGGTGTAAGAAAGTCACAAAAATAGTGTCATTTTCTTAGTTTATTTGGTGGGGTGGCACAAAAGGTTCTTTCAGTATTACTTCCCAACTTCAGAATACAGATGTTATTTTCCCCCCCAACAGTTCGCTTGGAATGTCATTGTCATTACATAGCAGCTAGCTTGCTTGCTGTAATCGACGACTTTCTTTGTGGTAAATCTTCAGGCGTTGGAATGGAGTCTCCAGTCAATGGTACTCTGGCAGGAGGTGGGGGCATTTTTTCGCCATTACCAGCGTTGTTTGGTTTTCTGAGAAGCTGACCTGTCTGCTTTGCCATATTGTAATCACCAGAATCAAAGTATTTTGGCTGAAGGGAAACAACAGAAGAGTCAGGTCAAAGAAGAATAACAGATAATTTGATGTATATAGCTAGTAGACAATCTGGTTATTTTTAATTCCCTTTGGTGAACATTGCCTCCAACTATCTAAACAACTGACTATGCAAATTTTGTTCAGACAACTTTTCTCTGGCGATACTTGTTAACCAATTAGAGCAGGCCTTACTAAAAAAAAGCAGTATACAACACAAGATCTTATTGGTGGTAGTTCCTGAATGCGACTTGCATAGGTTGTTAGTCAGATGTAGTTTACAGACAATCAGTGCCATCTCTTGCATTGGATTTTAATCAAATTCCTTTTAACAATTTGGGGTTATTGGGTTATATATACAAAAAAAAATCAAAATTTCACATTTATATTTATTATATAGGCTGAAAAAGATGGCATAATACAATTTTGAAATTACTGACATATTTTATTTTAGTTATTGAAGCCGAATGAGTGGATAAGTATGTAAATGCATTAATTATTCACTGGGATTTAATTTCGCTATTTTCACTGATAAGTAAAATTCACCAAATTAAATCTATGTGAACAAGTAAAATAACAATAAAACTCATTTTCCTTGAAAAATTTGTGAAAATAAACACAGTGAATATGCTCAAAACATCAAAACAGTGAAATTAAATGGTCAGTGAAAATAAATGGTTTTAGAGTAAGACAAATTTGAATGACCAGCTGAAATTATTAGTGCCCTGCTTGACGATTAATGAACAGGTAAAAACTGGTGTGAAACCTTACCCCTTTTTGTAACCTCTTTCTTAGAAAGTCTGATCCACCAGGCCTCTGCATTCCTGGATATTTGGATTTAAGTTTTGCTTCCTCCATCTGCTCCAGTTGGCTTTTCTGAAATTGTAGTTCAATATCAAATCAGTAAATTAACTTCTAAACTACAGGTCAACAATTCTACAAAGTATTACAGACGTTCCAGGCACTGATTTGACGCTGAAGTAGTGCTAGATGTTGATAACTTACTACAATAGGTTACACAGTTTGTTTTCAAAATTTACACAAGTTGTTAATTATGTTAATTTGTGTTTTAAAAGACAAGGACAATAGAATGATAGTCTATTCACAGACATCGATCCTGCTAAATGCAGGTCAACAATATATGCAAATCTTAAACAAAATAAAATACAGAAAACTATATGCCGAACACGAGCGACCGGCATGGGCAGATCCCAATACTTGGTCACCATAAATTTCATGAATTTATGTTATGCTTTTTTTAAATATACTGTAAACACAAATACCCTGTCCACAAGGTCTCGACCTTGTTGCTGACAGTTCTATTGATTGCAGGAGTTCAGTTGTCTTGAAAAACATGGGCTCAGGACAATTTGGTCAAAATTCAATGGGTGGGAAATTAAAACAGAAACCACTTGGACATTTTGAAAAAAATATTAACAAACGCTAATGTATGGTGAACATCTGAAAAACAAGATTGGGATGTCAAGGGTTTCAAGACGACATGCAAAAATAATGAAGGGACAGTAAAATTAGGGAAGCTGTAAAGCATGCCATTGTTGCAGTCAGAGCAAAAATGAACTACTTGAAAATAATGGAATTGGATAATTGCACAACAAATAAGAATATTATTGCAACTTGATCCATAATGATGTACACCATTTTAATGTGTGACCTTTGCTACTGCAGGTATTTTTATATTTCTGTAACTGGGGTCTTAACAAATATGTTCATATCAAAGCACTATTTCTCCAGGATTGCTAACATTGTAATGATATACATCAACTACGAGGTGTTTAAATCGTGTAAATATGGGGGAAATATCGATGTTACCGTTCCGGTAGTATGTATAATAGAATTTTAGGCCGGGAGTGTCGACGTGTAATGCAACGGCCGATCACAGCTGTAAATATAACATTGACAGCCACAGTCTCGTTTGAATGAATTCCATCAATATTGTACAACAACAAAAGACGAGTTTCTCACCGAAAATACTGGGCGATGTAATTATGTTCGATACTACGTATTCCAAATATCGACCGCACAATGTAAAATACGTGAAAGCACCAACAACAAACAGTACTTGAATTCGGACACTGTTACTGACACGCGGGTACATAATACACATTCGTGTACTGGATGCAATGACACTAGCGAGGTTAGCTAAAAACAATACCCATTATTGATGATAATTCTCACCTGTGACGTTTCAATACTCATTTTTGATTACAGTCGAGCCTGGTAGCGCGAAAAATATACAAATACGAGCAAGGTAAAGCTCAAGCTCTGAAAAATCCGTCACTGTAAAAATACGGATGTGACGTCACGGGTTATACTATTAATCTACATGGGGAAATGATTTCGAGTACTAAATAACATAAGTTATTACTGTTACGCTTGGAACAGTGGGTTGGACAAATTTCATTGTACAATATTGTATTTCCAATTTACTATTTCTTATGCTTGAAGAACTATAATTACACATGATATTCCCTTAGATCAAAATATATAATCCCTACTCAAATAATGGGAATTACAATCAACGGGATTTCCTAAACTGTTGCGAATGGCTATCCTGATTGGAGTGGCGATTTCACAAACAACTATTGATTTCAAAATGGCTGCGCTCACGAAAAAGTTTGATCTCACATGTTTTAACTATTTTTGACAGTGTTTGTGCTGTGTTTAACGTTTTCTTAACTGATGGTGTCAGTTTTGACAAAATGAGATCTCACAACACTCAATTATTTCTAATGGTATGGATTTTCACCTTATACGTAACAGCGATCGTACTTTTCACCAAAGGATTTTTATTGAAACGCCTGGAAATTCCTCAGAAAAGCACTTGCTCCGACTTTCAAGCTGATGGAAAATTTGATCAACATGGCGATTTCAGTCAGGGATGCTGGACTCAAAGGCGTTTCAAGCAAGCAGTTTTGCTTGTCATCGATGCGCTCAGATTCGATTTTGCTGTGCCTGATTCGAAATCAGACACTGCCTTTCAGAACAGACTTCCCTTTCTCAGTAGATTGTTGGTCGAGAAACCATTACACTCGAGACTGTACGAGTTTTTAGCAGACCCTCCAACTACCACGATGCAAAGACTAAAGGGTCTTACCACTGGCAGCCTTCCCACTTTTGTAGATGCTGGAAGCAATTTTGCATCTTCAGAAATTGTAGAAGATAATTTCATATCCCAATTGACTGGTTTAGGTGGCAGTATCACCTTTATGGGTGACGACACATGGGAATCTTTATTTATTGGTAAATTCAAGAAAGCATTTCCATATCCTTCATTCAATGTTAAAGACTTGCATACTGTAGATAATGGTGTTATTGAACATTTAATTCCTGAGATTATCAACAATGACTGGCATTTATTAATTGCCCATTTCCTTGGAGTTGACCATTGCGGTCATAGATTCGGTCCTTATCATTCTGCTATGAGTGAAAAACTTAGCCAGATGAATGATGTCATACGGTATGTACAACTGAGTGTACTCGATGGTTGGCAATGTCGACATATGCTAAAACATGGCAGTCATGTGGTACAATGTACCTACTTGTATTTCAATCAAGGAACAAACTGGACATCTCGACCAAAAAAAATCTTTATCTGTTTTTCATTGGACAAGTCGACCCAGTACGATTACGATCTTCGGTCGGCATAACTTTTGAAAACGTTATAAAGGGCAACACTCTCAAAGTTAAACTAGATAGAAGTTTGCATTGCCACATTAGGATAGGGTCTGACACAGTCCCTTGTTAAAGAACTGTGGGTCGGGTCGAGATGTCCAGAGTGTCTGGGTCGAAGTGTCTCGGGTATATTGTTGACTAAGCAATATATTATGCTTGGTATCGAAGATGCATCTGTATACCAAACTATCAAATCAACCGGATACAGCCGGTTGTGAGACATGACAAAACAAACGCAGCCAGTGATACATTTCGAAAATAAAAATGCAAAATAAAGTCAATCAGACGCGACAACCACGCACGTTGCAAATAAATAGAACACGTCTGACACAGTCTCACCAGCCTCTTTCACTCACGCAATATAATTATGCTATTTCCCAATGCACTTATATAATACATTGACGAAGAAAACAACACCGCAAGAAAAATGTAAATCAGGCTTGTAATTACTAGTAACTCAACTTGAGCGCAACACTGTAAAAGTGGACAAATTCAAACCGGCCATCAAATTCAAAATTCAAACTATCTCGTTGAATGTCAATCAAAAATAAACTTGATGTTTAGAAAGACAAAAACAACAATAACATATAAATATTACAAACAAGAGTGCAATAAAAGTTGGGAGCAAAGGATGGTTAATGCATGTGGGAAAGTGATGAGTGAACTCGAATAAAATTTTGCTAATGTGAGAACTCGCTATATATCTGGTGGAGTACTCGCTAAAACATCAAGTAAATTTACCATTTCAAAGGGCACCCTTTCAAATAATTGTCTGCAATTGTGTGAACATGATGACGTGCAAACAAGGAACAGAGCTCGTGGTCCACCAAAGAAACTCGGTGATGGCACCATGAGAAGTATACAGCTGTTGAAAACAGACTCCTTCGATCTCATATGAGCACATTCACGTGGATGATGTATCATTTTCAACTATTACCAACAACACTACGATAATAAAGACTTTCCGTTTTTGACATTGTAAAATTCTTTTGTTTTTATGCAGAAAATTACAGTATTTTTACCAAGTAGAATCATATTTATTAAAGTTATTGTTCATACATGAGTTGTTGAACACACTACATATTTTGTAATTTCATCCAGCTCCTTTCAGTCACAGTTCAAGACAAATAAATGGCACATATATAGAGAATATAGCAAATTATCTTTTTTCTCTGTAATATTCGTGTGTAATCAGTAATTATGAAAATAATTTATGGGTGCATATGGAATACATTTCGTTATTATTCTTAATATAAATTTCTTGTCAAAATAATTTTTTTCAGTTTTTTTTTCTCCAAAAATACGAAAGAATTTCATAATGTCGAGAACGGAAAGTTTTTATCGTAGTGTTCAACATAGTAAAATGTTGACTTCCTAAAAAATGCACAAGGATGACAAGACTATCGTTTTTCGCAGTAAATTTAATCTTCACTCTATCTTGAAGGACTGCAGGAATTTGACCCTTACCGAATCATATTTATGAATTAATTGGGATTCAGCTACCCAGGTAACAGAGCAATATCTAAAGATGCAAAAAAAAAAAAACATTCTGTTTTGATGCTGAAATTGGCTCCAAGGTTGGATTCATTTTTGAGGTTAATTTAATTTTTGTAATGTTACACATGTTTTAGCATTTTAGAACTTATTTTACGCGAGTCAAAAAGTTTTCTGCAGTGTAAGAAATAACGAGCAGAGAACTAAATGAGTATATGGCTTATACTAAGGTATGATTTTTAGCATCCCTTGTTTTAATACAGTGCACCAATAATTGTCTACCTTTTTTTTTTTTTTTTCATTTTCATTTTTGGAAAACACTTGTATGTGCTTGCTAAAAAAAGGCATTTTAGACGTCACAAGTGATTGAGAAATGTGAAAAAAACTTAACAAATACTCATTGTTATTTGGGAATGTTTTGCTACTGTCAAATTACTCAAATACAAAATGAATCTAATTCTATTTCCAACTTCAGCATCAGATTTTTTGGGTGTGCAGTTTGCCCTTTAACAGAACTGTATGGCATTCCAAATATAAGTAGGGTCAGCTTGTTGTCTGCTTTTAAAAGAGGTCTTGTTTCTTAAAATGTAAATGTCATTTTACCAAACCACAAGATTTGTTCAGGATCTCTATATCACTGTATGTTTTTCTGTTATGTTAATGATGTGCCAAGGAATAAGTGTAACTGGTTGAGTCATGAAAAAATATGTTGCATGTCATATCACACTGGGTTGGGAGGTGCCAGAAATGCTAAAGAATAATGGGCGAATAATAGAATAATTGTATCTTGGTTGAACATTTGGAACGTAGCTTGTTCATACATCGCCTCGCATCAAACACATTCCCTGGAATGTGTTGATTGCATAACATATCCAGAACACTACAATAAGGGCAAAAAAAAAATTGTTTTGTTGTCCTCAGCGACCAACCGGAAAATATGAAATATCGGGTCGCGTTTTTTTTTTTTTATGGTAGGCCGAAATATTAAAAGCTCACCATTTTAAGCAATAAATCCCGATTTTGAACCTCGGGTTGATCTGTACATATCGTAGTACAGAAATACAAAAGACTGGAAGAAACACTTTGATTTTTGTGTTTATATCTAGCATGCGTTTTATCGATTCCCATATACCTCGGATATTTACGATACCCTTAGTTTTCACAAGTTTTCACATTATTATTTTCAATTTTTTTTGGGCCTAATTGCCTGTGAATTGTTAAAAACTGGCTGATTTCATTATAATGATAATAATAATAATTCCATGACCTTTGAGTTTCTAAATGCCAATCTCTGTTACATACTCATACATGTATTACATGTAATCTTTTCGAGAGATGATATAAAGTGCATGTTACCCATAATACACTGCACACAGTGATCTTAAATAATCATGCAATTATGTGACATGATGAATGTGTGGAAAATATTTATTGATTCTTATCGGTAGTATTTTTGAAATTGACAATTCTCAACTTGAAACATGGTTAAACAACATTAAACCTAGAAAGATAAACCTAATGGGAAAATAAACACTCATCAGCAAGGAACACAGTCTACTGCATGATTGTAAAAGGGTAGCCTTGGCAGTCCTTATAATTACGAGATTGGATGGAAAGCCGAACAATTATCAGACCTCGGGAAGTAATTAATATAGCTGAAAATTGTAGTACAAATTTTTCGACAATTGCTTTAAATTATTTTTATACCATTAAAACTGTTCCAAGACCGTGACACCAAACCAAATCAAATTTAACTATGGTTCTTCAGGCAAAATGGCAATCCTAAAAATCACTTGAGACTCCCCACAACTCAGTTGCTGTCCTGTGATTTTGTAAAAGGACGTAGAATACGTGTGGAGGGCTGTAGAATTTAATGTTCTGTTAATTTTTATTCCCAGGTAATTCCATATAAAAATACAAATCATGTGAAATAGCCTGAAACTTCATATAATTATTTAGAATTTGTTTGAATTTTGTACAATTTTTTGATTTGAGTTATAATAGCTGTAGTTTAAATAGTCTTAATTAATCTTGTTTTCTTTACACGTTTACATGCATGTCATTATTACAGAGAAAAGTCAAAACTTTCATTAGATTAGTAAAGACCATGTCCACTGACCTTATCTTATTTATTTATTTTACTTTATTTTTACTTTTTTTATTTACTTTATTTTTATTTTTTGAACTACCGGTAATTAATTAATTGATTTATTTGATGTAGATCAGTGGTGGAGACTATATCCAATGAGACAGTGCTATTTATATTTGGAGACCATGGTATGACATCTACTGGGGATCATGGTGGCGATAGTGCTGATGAATTATCAGCTGCCTTGTTTGTTTATTCACCATCACAACTGATGCATCCTGACACTGTGTTACTAAACCCCTTACAGGTAGGTGGAGAGTGACTGTTACATGCTTAGTGAATTCCATCAGCATCACTGTTTGTTTGTTTGTTTGTCTAACGAAAACAATGAGGTTTTAAAACTTTTTCTTTTAAGGTAGGTTGAAAGACAGTTAAATTGTTGTTTTTCATATTTTTATTATTTTCAAATCTACATATTCTAGTCTTTGTTCTGTAAAAAATTAAGTTTCTACTACAAGTGGAACTTATCAAAAAAGAGTAGATATTATTCAAAACAAATGCGCATGTGTGTGTTATTGTCTTTAATGGATTACTCTTTTTTAGCTCTGCTGTCGACTTTGTCGAGCGGAGCTTATCATATGAGTGATTGTCGTCCGTGTAAATGTTTTACTTTTTCGACTTCTTCTTGAAAACTACAAGCCTGAATGCTTTGATACTTGGTGTATATGTACTTTGGGTAGACCTCTCTTAGGTTTGTTCATTTCATGTTGATATCTTCAATTCTCTAATTTTGGTGAATATTTTTGGTAAAAAGTGATATTTTCGACATCTTGTTGAAAACCGCAAGTCCAATTGCTTTGATATTACATATATAGGTACTACATGTGGACCTCTCTCAGATTTGTTCATTTTGTAATGATATCTTTAATTCTCTAATTTTGGTGAATATTTTTGTCATTTTTGGTAAAAAGTGATATTTTCTTCTTGTTAAAAACCACAATCATTTATGGTGAAAAATGATATTTTTGAATTCTTGTTGAAAACAGCAAGTCCCATTGCATTGATACTATGCATATTGTTCATTTTCTAATGATATATTCTGTTCTTTAATTGAAATGTGCATTGCTAACAGCGGAGCTATCTCAGCCGAGAGGCTGCTTGTTTGTTTGTTCCTGGGAAATAAACAAATAATATTTTGACATAAATTGAGTTTATATTGCAGTTGTGGCCATGCTCATTAATATTCATAAAAACCAACAACTTTCATTGAGCTGGTGTGATTCCTCAGTTTATTTCTTTAACTACTGGTGGAATAACAAAAACTAAAGATACTATCATGCAATGTTTTTTTTTGATAAATATGTTTTTATCTTACACTTTGCTATTATGTCCAGTGGTCCTGCAGATTATAAATAGGCTAATTTATTTCATTTTTCACACAGAAAAATTACAAGACTCTGTCTCAAGTCGACTTAGTACCAACACTATCACTTTTACTCGGAACACCAATTCCTTTTTCCAATTTGGGCAGCGTCATGACTGATCTGTTCACATTTGAAGATAAATCTCCAAGTAGTAGTTACTCAGTGGCAGTTTTGAAATCCATCGAGGCACTGAGATTAAATTCTTATCAAGTCAAACGGTATATTGATGAGTATTCTCGGGTGTCTGATGAATTTCCTCATCAAAGAGCGACTGATTTACAAAGCAAGCTTGATGCAGCAGAAAGACTACTATCTGAGGGAAATTATGAACAGTTGTCCCACATCCAGAACTTGTATATAGATTATTTAAATGGTGTGAAACACATGTGCCAGAGAATTTGGGCGAAATTTGATCTTGTTTTAATAACCTGTGGAATTTTGATGATGGTGATTGCTATTACAAGCAGTGTCGCATTGGTACTATGTCTGAATACCACTATGGCAGTTCCTCAAATTTCACTGACGCTAAACGGTCATTTAAAATTGATAATAAAAAGTGGAATTTTCGGACTTGCATTTGGAATCTTTGCTGTTCTCCTACATACGCCACTCAGGTCAAATTGGGCGACCATTTTGTTCTTTTTGTTTGCACTTATCTCAAGTTTGACTTTTTTGTGTAAATTTTTTCTACTCGACAAATCATGTAAATTCAAACAGGTTTCCTGGGAGTCATTTATGGCAACAGTGTTGATGCTTTTTTATGCTGTAGCGATGACATCAAACAGTTACGTGGTACGCGAAGACGATGTGTGCGTATTTCTCATACATACATTATTATTAACTGTATTTCTGTTGAATGTGAAGTATACAAGGACTAAACGGAAGTCTACTAGGAAATGGGATCTTGGAGTGTGGCTCACTCAGCCATTATCCAGAGTTATGTTTATAATATTAATAATTAGTGCTGCTGTGCGCCTGAGTGCACATTTCCGGGTATGCAGGGAAGAGCAGTATCCCGCATGCGAAAGTTCAGCATTCGCGCAATCACTGTCTAGTTTGCCACCTGCGCAAATCGTCTTCAAAAACATGCGATACTTTTTGTCACTTGCTTGTGTTAGTGTATTGCCTTTAGGTCTGCGTTTCTGGATGAGTCACTATGGCAACCTCAATGGATCATCCGCAGCTGTAACTTATGCGATCTACGGGTTACCCCTAGCAGCAGTGTGTGCGTCCTTCTACTGGGCATTGCAAGCCCTGCCTGATAAAACTGTGGATAGTCTCCCAGTGTGGCAGCAAGTTTTACTTCCAAGGATTGTGTATTCTGTATTTGCTGTGGGTATCATTATAGTACTGTGGAAACCTCTAACTGTGTATGTGATTCACAGAGGAGAAAAAAAAAGAAACTCTAATTCTGAATCTGCATCACTGGAGATACATCAAGATGAAGAACATGAAGTTGTGAAGAAAGTTTTTAAAAAGATGAAATCAAACTGGAAGAAACCATCAAACGACTTCAGCTCAGACAGCAGTGTACCCATGGTGTATGGCCTCGCTACGGTATACTCTGCTAGTTACTTATTGTTGGTAACTATTTTTATACTGGTATTGACAATACTCCTCGGTGATGGGTTTGCTCCAGCCATGCTGCTGCTTTCTGTACAAATGTTTTTCTTGTTGGAATTATATGCTGTTATCTCTCATGTTAAGTTCAGGGATTCAGGCAGCTCAAAAGTCGGTAAGTAACTAAGTTCTGATTGTATGTTCAGTGACATTTAGGCCAGACTTTTATTATCCCTTGTTTCGCAAACCCGTCGAATGAACAGGAGCCGAAAATGAAATAAAAATATAATTTTATTTCAGCATAATTTCTCGCGCCTGCCGACTTGTAAATGCAAAAGGTTACTAAAAAAACTAATTTTTATCTTCATTTTTTTCACCGCCCGCCGCATAACAAATCTAAGTTGCATTTTCGTGGGAGTATCATGATCAAAGTACCAAATTAAAGTCTCGCGCAGATGAGAAACAAGGTTATACATGATGGAATAAAATTTTATTTCATTTCTTCTCTTCGATTAATGATCTCACTTACAATTCTTTGAAAATCACACAAATCTAATTTTTTTCCCGCCCTCCTCAAAAAAATTGCCTTATAAAAACTCGCAAGAAGATATAACTCTCAGGGCCAAAAATGGGCCTTTCAGTTTTTTATCCAACGATTTGTTTAAAAGGGGCACTATTGTTAGAACTGCACACATGGTGAGAACTCTCACAAAAATGAATGTTCACTTATTGATTGCGACTAGTTTTAAGAGCCCTACTAAAAATCAGTGGCACATTTACTGACAAGCATGTAAATTCTAACTTGTAAATAGGTGATTTAACATTCAACTGCGAGATCTCGTGAGATGCATGAAAGACGCGCGTCGGACGTCTGCCTCAAAAAACAAACGATTTGATTTTGAACTCGAATTTCTTTATTTCGTAGCTCACATTAACCGACCGATCTTCGACAGAGGAATATTGCTTTCGAATACCCACACTTAATCGAAATTGTCTATCAAATGTGTACAGCACATTATTAAGCATGGAAATGTGCCCAAAATACTTCGCGTTTGTCGAATCCCATGCGATGTTTGATGCCACTACGATGCTATGACCTTTGTTTGTCTTGTTTTTACGTTCGATTTTACACATAACGTGTGATTCTCGCAGTGAACGGAAAATGGTCTATTGTCAAGATTTTGTATGGGTCATAGTTAAAGGTGTTTTGTGACGTTATTTTATAGTGTGTAGTACCTGTACTTATAACCAGAGAACAGAAACACAATTGAACAGTAGAATATGAAGGCCATTTTACTCATGGCACTGTGTCAATGTAATTTTACGTCGATACCTCATACTAGGTTTTTCATAATCATTACTTCTCAAGCAACGCCTTTCATATTCGTCTTACAGATAAATTTCACGATATCCCATGGTCTATCGTTGCTCTGTGGGCGTTGATGGCTTCGCAGTATTTTTTCGCAACTGGACACCAAGCTACTGTACCATCCATTAGGTTTGAATCTGCATTTGTTGGTTTCCATGGCGACTTTCCATTCTACCTCTACTTTGTAGCGGCATTAATGATCGGTTTGAACACATATGCCGGACCTGTGATTTTTACAGTTTCCCTACCATTAATTATATTTTGGCCATATTCAAGAGGAACATTGTCGCAACAAGATGGCAGTAATCGAGCAAACGACAAGGGAGAATTTCTTCTTCATGAGAATGAAGAAAAGTTTTCAGTTATTTGTTTTCGACTTTTCATGATGTATACAATATTTCTTGCTGTTAGAGTGAGTATCTTTGACATTAATTTTTGATATCAAAGTTGCAATCTCCCTTTATTATAACTTTATTGGGGACTACTATTTGATTTACAAACATGCACGAATTGCAGAATAAAATTTTTCAATGAATTTTCTGAATTCATCAGAATTCTCAGTTACCAGTATTTAATTTGGATCACTGTATAAACTTGGGACAGGGGTGAAGCTTTGGCAATCGAATGTTTTCGAACACTAGTAAAATGAAATTTAAATAAGTTAGAAAGTGAATATTTAGTTTAAATTAAAAATGTGATGTTTTGCATTTATTTCCTGCAATCCATGTAAAATCTGACCTTAAAGTTGTATTGTCGACAAAATTTGTTTTTAAGCCTTTGTTTAATACATGTAAATACAGCAGCTACAAAATTGGCAGGACATCCTTCTTGCCAATAATCGAAAATCACCAAGCAGTTACAGGGCTTTGATTGTGATTGAGTTTTCAGCATCTTAGGGTGTCATCAAGTCACTGATTTGCATGCAGGATTCTCTGTTTGATAATGTGAAGTATTTTTCATTAAGACTAGTCTGGTAGGCACACCAGACTCTTGAAATTTTTCTAACTGACCATTAGGTTCTTCCCATTTCAATTTATAGAATAATTTTCTTACTCATGTTACTGTAGCATTCAAGCAAACATCACATACTTCCTAGGTTAATTGTGTTTAGTGTGCTTTTGTAGCAGAATTCGATCAGCAATGCATGATGGGCTTTTATGATTACTTTTAGTGCAGACAATAAATAATGATGCAATGCATCATGTTTTGATTAGTATAACTCACAAACTCTGTTCAAAATTAAAAGGGCTTCCAACTGAGTTTTTAAGATAAGTCGCATCATATCATATTATCGTACTGTCTTCGTGCATACTTTGACGTATCTTCATAATAAACTCATAGTCATAACTATTTAATGTAAAAAATTTTGTTACTTCATCTTCATGAGCAACATTAGTTTTGGCAAATTCTGCAAATAATGGACAATTGAGTAGTTGTGTAATGTGACTTACAGTTAGAAGTCTCCAAGAATGGTATAATTTTTATTTTTACAACCACAAATTGAGTTATGTGTTCATACTTGGTGTCTATTTGGTTCATCACGATGGCTTTTACTTCATGAAAAGTCATCAAGGTTGGTGTTGTAGTGAATTTCACCTAGTATTTGTAACCATGGAGAACTCTACAAGTACTGTAAAGGGGGTAATTATTCACTGGGTTTTAATTTAGCTTATTTCGCTGACTGGAAAAATGCGCTAAATTAAAACCCAGTGAATATGTAAAATTTAGCATAGAACACATTATCTAAATGACGAAACCGTGAATTTAAAACCCACTGAATATGCCCGAAATGGTAAATCAGTGAAATTTAAACCCAGTGAAAATTAGTCATTTTACAGTATGTGTAGTTGTTTATATTTCCTAGGATATTCTTTTATTTCAGTATTTGTTTGATTGTAATCTGTATTTTGTTTTCAGTTCCTAGGTACAATGGTATCAGCAGGTATTCATCGACGTCACCTTATGGTATGGAAAATCTTTGCTCCTAGATTTGTGTTTGAAGGTGTATCGTTTCTGCTTACAATGACAATTATATTCATTATTTATCTGATTCTTCTTAGACTGGATAAAGTTTTAAAAAATTGGTTTGACCAGCTTGTTATTAAATGCCACGAACAATAACATTCTTGTGTCGTATGCGTTTTCCTAGAAAATTTGTTTTGTAAACTTTGTAATATTTGTAATCAATTTTGCACTGATTTGAAAAGATTCATTTTTTAAAAATAATCTGTCAGTGAAAAGTGTGATCAGTAGAGTTGTGTGTTCTAGTTGCTAGGCAACGATTTGTGCAATTCTCTGAATTTCAAAGGCAAAAGGAGTATATATATATATATATATATATATATATATATTGCTATTTTTTTTTTATTCATACCCACTGATGACACAATACAAAATATTAATGAGGGGTTGAAATATAGCGTGGCATTTGGAAGATCGACAAATTATGGAGCTCATCCAGTCAAAAAAAAACAACATGTACAAAGTTCATGGAAATAAGATAAAATAATTGTGAAGGAGAATGACACAGAGGATTTATGAAGAGAGTAGGAGATAGTGATATTGAAAATGATAGGGAAAACAAATTTTGTGAAGTATATATGGTAATAAATATATTCGGATGGTGGCAGTGACAAATGTAGGGTAGCAGGCAGTTCAGAAACATACCAGGCAAATACTACTTCTATTTCAATACCTGAAATTGTGATGTCCATTTGTATAGTACCGATACTTTTCAAAACATCTCTGATGAGCAAGAATAAACTTAAAACATGTCAATTGATGATATTGGAATAATAATAAGTTTATCATGCTTCAAAAATGTGGAAACTACATAAACTTTTAAAGAATATTTTGTTTACTTACTGGTAACAAAAGTTTTATAAAAGATATAGGAATAATGTAAATATATATTGTTTGTATCACATGGGATTATAAATTTATTGCATTAAATGTAAACATGGTATTGATGATGTAGTATGTCATCACTATTTTCAAAATTAGTCCTGATTTGATGATTGAAGACATTATCTTGTGATTTGTCATCAGCCTTTTCACCACTTTGTCAAATTTATATATCCTTCTAGACTGGCGCAGTTGGGGTGATTTATTTGTTTTTGTGGTTTAAATAAAATAAAAAAATGGAGGTGTTAGCGCAAAATCCCCTGTAACTGCGAAATCACCCCGACTGGTTTATTCTGCATGGCTCTCTATCGACACCGCAGGAACCCATCGATTTTCAAAAGGTAATTATGTTAATGAGTGTTCTAATTGACAATCATTTAAGCCAATCACAACGTCTCTTCAACTGACCTCTGACCAAGAAGACGTCAGCTGATTGTAGCAGCCGATTTTTTTTTTTATTGTACGAGTAGTACGAGTTACTTTTTTGCACATTGTGATGAATTAGAACCGACGACTACGACAAACTCGAATTTTAACATGCCGCCATGTTGGGTCTGCAGTGAACCTTTACCATGTTAACCTCATTATGCACGCATTTCCTCGCCCACCTCATTATAATATGTGCATTCATGAATATTTAATAGCAATGAATTTCCTGCAGAATAAACCAGTCGTGGTGATTTTGCCCTAACACCTCCATTTGGCGAATTTTTTTGTTTTATTTAAACTAAAAATCAAATTAATCGCCTCGATTGCGCCAGTCGAATATCCTTCCATAAAATGATTGTGTGTATTTGCTTATGTACGTAAAATAGCTGTATTTTAATGATTCAGTTGATAATAAATGCTATTATGTGAGCTTCGGTGATGTGTAATCTTTTCATCCAAAATTGTAACATTTTCAAAATAATTTGAATAATTCATTCTGCTTGTTCCCCAAAGTATTGAAATTGGAGGAAAACATTCAAAAAATGCACAAAATTGGTACAACCAAATCATCGAATATGTACAATTTATGTGCATTGCATGATGGGAAAAGGTAGACTGGACATGCATGACATTTGCGTCAAGTGAAGGACAACAAGAATTGCTCATACAACAGTTGTGCATACTTGAGTTAAAGGTCAAAGGTTACTAGTTGACTTTTTATGAAAGATTATTTTATGTACAATAACGTAGAATCTCTGTACAACTATATTCCTGCTGATGAATGAACAGTTATCTATAGATTGTTCTATGGACATAATACAGGTTTGTTGATGTTATGTGATACATTTGGATGAATTACACAATACAACTTTCAATTGTTTTCATATCACAGCCTAATGTTGGTGATCATTTCAAGTCCCATGTGAATAACATCAGAAACTGCCCTATTTATAATGATTCTGTTGAAGCAAAGAGCGAGTTTCTAATTATACTGGCCAGTTCTCTACATTAACAGCTCCCCATCAAATTAAAGGATTCCCCCAAGATCCACATGTAGAGGAATACTTTAATATCAAATGCCTCTGTCAACTAGTACAGTGACCCCTCGCTATGTCACAGGTGTTGGGATCCAAGAAAAAAAATTATTGAGAACAGACTGGTAACTTTCACTTAAACATGTTAGTCAGTTGGAAACGAGGGACCAGTTATCAAGTTTGAACAAAATTCGTTCATGTACCAACGAGATCCAGGTCCACAATGATGAAAATGTGCGAGTGTTATTCATTTTTGGCCCTATAATGGCTGCCATTCGGCCATTTTGAATCAGATCAAAAAACAAATGCAGATACATATGTTCGATCCATGTATGCGAGAAGTTTTAAACTTGATCGATCAAGGCATGTCAGATATATGGATCCACTACTTTATTTTTTTAAACAAAATAGCCACTTTTTAAATTCGTAAAATAAATTAATGTGCATCATGGTCTATATTTGTTCAATGTATCCACAATGTTTTAACAAATCTCTCCATACACAAGTGATATCAGGTTTCAAAATGGTGAAAATGTGTTATTTGGCCATCTTGTACTAATTCTACTCAATGATGAGGCGCATGTATTTTACCAAGGTCAAATACTAACCTATTGGTAGATGTGTATATAATTCATTTCTAAATCAAGTGCAGTTAGACATACATGTACGTGCGTTTATTTCACATTTCCATCTGCCACTTCTATTGATTTGTTCATAGATGCCCCTCCCCCTGCCATTATATGACTTTAATATATGCCCAACCTTCACAGAAAGACCACCTCCCAGCTATGGATCGATTCCTTGGGTGACCATTATAGACAGGTTAGACTGTAGTGTGTTTATGGGGTATGTGTACATCAAGTTTGCAAAACAGTGCAATTAGGATAATAGTAAGGACTCTAGATATAACACAAAATAAAAATATTTTTTTTTTCTATTCTTTAATCCCATTTTAAGGTGAAAAAGCTGACATACCAGATACATACTGATGCTGTTTAATTTTAATTAATAAACACTATTCTAGAATCTCTGTACTTTGAAGTCTACAAGATCCTCTACAAAAAAGAATTACAATTTCTTGCTCTATTAGAATAGCAACTATATGCAGGACCATTAAAATTAAACTTATTTTGACCACAGTTGTACCACCACCATTTATGCAAGTCTATGCTTATTACGGCAACAGAACAAAATTTCTTTTACAGAACATTTTTTTTTCTATAATTGTCGCTTGTCTACAAGAAATAGTTTCCTAGTATACTGGTCATCTGTGTCTACTTCCGCATACGAAAACTTGCGTGGCTCAAGAAATTGCTGTCAATTCAATTGACCAGTGAATTGTTTTCCCATGATTCAATCAGGGATTTTTTTAAACAGGGGTGCAGCGCCCTCATGCCATGGCCATGCACCCCTTATCCTGGGAAGCAGATCCTCTGGCAACCATAAAATTCTGATTGACCAGGGATCACATGTGGCCAAAGTCTTCAACTGTGACCTGTCTGATAGTAATTTTGGCTCGAAGGAAGCCATAGAATGCTCCATTTTAGAATTAACAAAAACTGCACACCCTGGTAGGGAGAATCCTACCCCCCCCCTCTGCTGGCACCGCTGAAATGCAGTGCTCCCTCTTGCAGTTTTTTTCTAGAAAAACCCCTGCAACTCGTAATTAAAATTTGAATGCTTATAAAACTGCCCCTAGAACCTCTGCATTTGTAGAAGATATTACTGACCTCAGGAAGCACATAGGCTAACTCTATTTATATACGATAGAGAAAATTGCCTTCTTTATCATAAAACCGATTTCCACTTTTGATAATTTTCATGGGTTTTGCGTTTTTTAAGAATTTTACGTCAGATAACTTGAAGTCATATTCTTCATCACCAATATGAGGATCATCAATTTCATCCGTGTTTTCATCGTTATCATCTCTAATGTCAATTTCTGATATGTCAGAATCATAAATTGTCATATTATCAGTCTTATTTTGATTCTTGATTGCTTTCACTGCATCAGTATTCAGCTTTGTATCACTGTGTTCCAATTTTTGATCAGATTCATTCAGTTGTTTTTGTTGCAATTGCTGAAGTTTTTCAGTAACTTGAACACTTGTAAGTGCAATTTTAGTAAATGTACCAAGTTGATTATTTTGAAATTTTAATTTTGAATGATGTTTTGTTTTAGAGATCACCATCAGCGAATCAACTTCATCATCAGCACCGCTTTTCAATGTTTTTTGACTTTCCTGTTTTTCCTGCGCCAGTAACCCAACATTACTTATCACCACCTCATCTTGTTTCCTCGCTCTCCTTACATTTGGAACATATTTACTTTTTAAAATCCTAATAACGGCAATTTCAGAAACATCAAAACTTTTCGCTAGGCGCTTGACAGTCCACTCATCGGGGTGTTCTTGACTCAGGTATCTTAATTGTTTCATTGCATCTCTGCTTAAAACTCTCACTTCTTTGAAACCCTTGGATAGTTCTTGTGTTGCTCTTGCTCGTATCATACCATACTGACGACGCCTGCTTTCTCTACAACATAGTAAACGTAAAATTGTGAATTAATAGCTTTATGCAAAGAAGATAAAAATGTTTATATTGGAACGTTTTGATGAAGGTACTGCATTAAAAGCAAATCTCCAATAGATGTGCATTTAAATAAAAAATTATTTGTGGTATACTCTAACATTAAAAAATTACATAATTTGATCATAGAAACACATCATCAACTTGATGATAGAAAGCAGGTGTTGGCACAAGTGATAACGGGGGGGGGGTTTACTTTAACCAATGCTTCAGAATGAGATGGTGACCCCCACCCTTGCATGCCTCATATGTGTATTTCTGCATTATAAGTTAAATAATAGAACAGATATAGGAGTATGTCAAAAAAATATTTGCCACCCCGAGATTTCAGATGGGTGATCTTTTTAGTGCTTACCTTTCGATTGCTCCAAGGTAATTTGGATCATCATGTTTAACATCCTCCTCGTTCCTCGCCACCCGCCGCTTCATGTCATTTAAGACTCTCTCATATGAAGTGTATACTGCTGAACTAGATATGCACTTGGCGGACTTAACTTGTTTATAACTTAACTTCACCAGTTGTCTTACAATCATTATACCTGCGGAAGATGGCGTCATTTTGAACTAAAAAAAACACACAATCCAATGTGCGTGCGATCAAGTCTTTGACTCGTACAGCTGTCTATTTGCGAGCGTTATGTTACTACTACTAAATCAGAGGTACGTGTACATTTAAATATAGAATTATTATATCATATTAGAATATACGTTATCAGAAGTTAAAAAACGTATACCATGCTGCGCAGTGATAATGGACATAGCAATCAAATCAGTATTATCAGAGGTACATTACCTCTGGTATTATAATGAATGAGATAGACTACCGTAGTGCCGCGAGATTTCACGAGATTTGGACGAAAGTGAGGCTTCCGGTGTTCGAGGGAAATCCCATTTGAAAGTTTGTTTACCAGCTTTACCGTGTCGTCTTGTTCACTGCATGTGACTTGAACGTATCGTATTTCGACAGAATGGAAAGCTCAAAACCACCAAGAGATGTTATTCCAGAAGAGATTTTGACTGACCTTTGCAGGTAACTTACTTTTTTTAGTGTATCATAGTAGTACTAAAATCATATTATCATGGGCAAGTTGTTGCCTGTAGTCCTGGTTTGGAATGACACTGACGATGATTGCGGATAGGCCTCTCTATCCTTGACCTTGACCATTTGCCTTCATGAATTTTCCGTGGTCTGAGAGGTACATGTATACATAGGTTTTGGGCTGTCGTTTATCCAGTAAACATACCTCCGAAACGTCCAGGGTGGTCCTGAGATTTAGTATAGTGTATTTATTTTAAGTTTTGCTGCAATGAACGCTGATTATAACATTTTTGTCTCCAGTACTCACGATTGGGTGGAAAAAAAAACATTACAATTCCCCTGGGGGATATTCAAACGGCTACATGATACATGCGTACTAAATGCATCAAAAGTTCAGGTCAAAACCATTAAATAGGCTGTTCAGAAAATTATTGTTTTTGAATGTCAATTTCAATGGAAATCAAAAGACAAATCTACAACAGCAAACTTAAATAGGGGATTACTTCCTGCCCAAGAGTAGACTTCTGTATCAAGTGTGAATCTGTTTCAATCAACTCGCTGGACAGTGTGAAAAACTCATTGTTCGTATCAGCTTTTTCAAGACTATAGTTGGCTCCTCACTGGTCTGGAAATAGCTATTGCTTTAGGTGTGAATCTGCAAATCTTTCAGGACCATCTGTACATGGGCCGATTGCTGAAGAATTGTAGCTCTTTTTGTGTCGGCCTTTAGTCTGTGTGATGGTAAACCGTATGGTAAGAGTTTAATAAACATATTATTAATTGATGACTGTACTTGTATTTGCGATACCATTTGGCATTGTACATCTGTGTTTTGCAAGTATATTGGAGGAACCTCAACCCTTCTATGTTGATAAAATCTCAATACTGTAAATGCATTTACTATACACTGGGTTTTAATTTTGCTATTTTCGCTGATACATGTAAGTAAAATCTGCTAAATTAAATCGACGTGAACATGAAAAATAACAATAAAACTCATTGTTTTCTTGACAAAATTTGTGAAATTAAAACACAGTGACTATACTCAAAACAACAAAATAGTGAAATAAATGGTTTTACAGTAACTAAAAATAACAAGTTTAAGTATACCAATTGTCTGTGAGCTCTCGTCTCACTGACTGGTCAGTGCATTAGGATTTCTGAATTTTTGGGTTATCATAACCCAGGGATTGCGTTAACCCCATATTCTGCTTCCTGAACTCCAATTATTGAAGAAGGACCCAGTTTTTCAGGAAAGCAGGGGTCCAATCTCTAATAAATTTATCCAGGGTCAAATTTCAAATTCTTAAAATTTTGTAAGTGGGACTCATCTTGCTGAGACACTAGCGCAATTCCATTAATCCATGATTTTGTTTTGGTTTATTATTTTGGTATTCTGATTTTGGTTTCATAATTTTTTTTACCGACATGCACCAAGTCTCAACTTTTTATGGTTTAGTCATTATTACACACAGTGGTGCACAATAATATTTTGGGGTATTTTGGCAAAATACCACTTGGTTGAAAGTTGAATAGTACATGTATTCAAATACACACTTCCAGTACTGTCTCAGTCGAGTACTAGTGGTAAGTACTGGCCCTGCCCCTCAAAATTAGGCAAAAATTACACAGGTAGTAAGGTAAGGTTTGTAAGTAAAAGGGTAATTCTTTCTGTGTTATTATAATATGACATTTAATTCTATACATATTTGTTTTTCTTGTTTTCTTTAACAGTCGATTCCTCATCAACATTCCTGGAGAAGAAAGAGCTGATCTGGTCAGAGTTTGTTTTCAGATTGAACTAGCACACTGGTTTTATTTAGATTTTTACTGTATAGAGAATCCTGAATTGCCTACCTGTGGAATCCGTGAATTTGCCCAAGTTAATATCCTTTTAAATTAACTCTTGGATGTGGTATGTGTAAAAAATATAACAGTGAAAGTGTTGAAGATATTTGTTGTGCATTGGGAGGGGATGGCTATAAAAAAAATGCAATACAATGAGTAGTGCCTACTGGGGGACATCGGACTTTGTAGCAAAAATAGAAAACATTTTGGGCAATATCTGTCAATCATTACTCTGATTTGCAGCCGATGTTTATATTTCTAGTTACAACTTATGTAAATGTGAAAACAAAGTGTGTAACCTATTGTAGAATGTTATATCATGGTACATCTTAGTACATCCATGGTTATATCTATATCTAGTACTACTTCAGCGTCAAATCAGTGCCTGGAATTGCTGTAAATTTTACTGTTTATCCAACAACTCAGAGCAAAGTGTTCTTTACTCTGTAATTCTCTAAAAGAAATCTTTGAATCACAATTCCCGAATTACTGTCAGACACGATGTAATTCTATTTGCACATGCGTAACCTACACAGCAACGGGCGAGGGTAGGACAAAAATATAAAAAGTCAAAGAAACACCGGTAGACATGCAACCCGGATTATGTCTGCTGCATATTTGAAATGAGGGCAGCTAGAAGAACTATTTAACACAGCTGAGAAACACGGATTTCCAGTTGAAAAAATATTTTCAGAGTAAATAGACTGAAATAGAGAATGGTACATGTGTGTTTCGCAGAGAAAATATGGCCGTGACATAGTTTTTCAACTCCCAAAATGCCCACAAAAAATATGTAAATATTACGCTATAGCCAAAGATAATTTGCATGCTTGTTATCCTTGCTTAGGCAGAATAGTGTGCACATTTTCAGAGGCTGGTACAAATTAATTGAAAAGATGATGGCAGTCTTATTTCAGGTGAATTTTTACGATGTGAGTTGAAAACATTGATGTTTGGTGTACTGCGATTCTGTGTGTTAGGTACATTCAAAAGCTTCCGCTATGTTGACCCCAGGTTTCGCAATATGCGCAAGCGCACAAACGATGAATGCGCAAGCGCTGTTCAATTCAGGAACCAGGAATTATTGGTTTATAGAATTGCTCAATGCCAATTTACAGCCGTTTGTAAGACTCTTGTGACCCAGATATTTTGTGCTGCTTCAAGCAGTTCCACTACATGTTTGTTTCTTTCAATAACATTTGTAGTAAAAAAATATGATTACAGTTTTTGTATAATTTGTCATGAATAATAATATATAGCACTCATTTGGGCAGACATATGTTATTTGTAGCTAAAAAGTACCAGCTTCTTTATTGAACACTCTCTGTTATATTTATGTGTATGGGTGTAAGCTCCTTGACTACTAATACTTTTCAGACACTGTCCTTATTTACATGAACACTCTCAGAATGTCAATGAAATTATTGCCAATTGGAAAGATTACAAGATGAGTGTACCAACTCACGGTGCTATAATAGTAGATGAAACATTACAACATGTAAGTTTACCTGCTGTTATTAAAGGGATGTTATGGTAGCAACTGTGGGAAAATGAGTTAATCAGACATTCTCTAAAAGTTACTAAGCATACTACCATAACAACCTATACTTTATCTAAAATTTTAGATATAGGTGAACACCGTAGTGGATATGCTGTGTCAGTGTTCGTCTATATGAAATACATGACAGTCCTGTTGCTACCGCGTATCATATGTACTATGCGAGGATACGTGAATTACTTAATTATTTTTCAATTGCATGCTTTACTGTCATCGTCGTATTATTCTGAATATGTCATCGCATATTGTTTCGAACATGTGACTGCCATACTCTTTCGAACACCAAACAGCAACATTGCCAGCTAAGTTGCTGTCTTGTTCGTAATGCGCATCTCTACACTGTTACATGATTTGTAACAAACCTTTTTTATGAGGGTGTGCTACTAGTATTTGGCTAAAGGTTAGCATTGAATGACGTGCATCAGACGTGATGTGCATTAGACTGTGCATTAGACATCTTGTTTTGATAACTTTTCCATTTATTATATACCGGCAGTAATTGAAAGGCAATTACATCATAATCTTCTATTTATATTCACAATGTTCAAGTCCCCCCACTCCTTGTTTGACATCTCCTGTTGAGGTTGGTTTGGTTCAACTTGTTCTAATCGCTTCATGACTGTAGTACTCTAAATTTCAGGAAACGTATCAAAAATAGAATTGACTTAATTTGTTCAGGGGCTGTTGATTCACGACATGCAAAATAGGATTCCAAGGCAGGTCTTAAATATAGTTTATATATTTCTTTATATAGGTATTATTGGTACAAGGCTACTGGGCTAAAGCTAGCTGGGGGTTTCCAAAAGGTAAAGTGAACAAAGATGAAAGTGAACATCAATGTGCAATCAGAGAGGTACGAGTAAATATTCTTTGTGTTTTATTATACACTGTGTTGAAGTTTCTCCCAAACTCGGGTTGTTTTTTAGGTTCAAGTTACTGAAAGTATTTACCTTGTTTTATATACCGGTATATACTTTCATGGTTGTTAAAAACAATACAAAGCATGTCACTGTCAAACCTGTGTTTAGGGACTTCATTAAAATGATCTTTATGGACAAAGGGGTATTTTAATGATATAATATTTCGTATAGAAAATAATGATATAAAACTGCAACTGAAACAAGTTTATTTATGTTGATCAAAATCAAACAACTTTGACTTGAGAAAATTAAAAATTCCTTGAATTCTAATTATTATTTTTGGCTCTAAACAAAGGCCAATCTGCAAAAATGTTGCTAAAACGCTTGTCACCTAAACAGTTGGTCTTTTTATATACACAGGTTGCTCATACATTATGTTTTGTGACGAGGTACCATGCAACTAGGTTTATTGTTTACAAATTATAATCCACGACTGGCAGGATGCGTGTCGGTCGGTACATAATTATAATAACAACTGGACAATAGTCCTGGTCGGAAGCATTTCCGTGGTGATCGCTAATTTTGACTGCCGGTCGCGGCCGACCGCCGCCGACCAGCGTGGCGAGATCCCTGCTAATAAGGGTCACTACAGGCAGCTGGTCACTAACACAAGTTTGACTGTAGTATCTGATCGTCTTTTCTATTGCCGAGTACTGTTAAATAAATAATAATTCAGAGAAAATGAATTTCATACAAAACACCCAAAAAGTTCTTTCAGTGAAAATTAATTCCAGCTAAAATATTTTACAGTACTATGCACCATGTGTTTTTAAAGCATTCTATATCGGTATTTGTGTTTCTAAAAACATCAACATGTGTCAAACTTTAAATTACTGTTGAATACTTTATTTTCGCTGGAGGGATGATTCCGTGAAAATAAAATCCAGCGAATATACTTTTTTTCGTATATTTCACATTAAACTCATCAAAAATCAGTGAAAATAAATTCCATACAAAACGCCCAAAAATCCTTTTCAGCAAAAATTTATTCCAGCGAAAATACAGTATTCCACAGTAAATTTTTACAAATTTTCTACCTAATATGCTTGATCAAGTAAGAGAGACCAAAAAAAAAACAGACATACTAAAAAATAAAATTCTGTCATTTATTTGAATCTGAACCTGAAATACAGAACAATCTGGAGCTAACTTCTAAATTGTTTATTTCATGTTCACCAATTGTAGGAACTTCATGTAGTGAAGTCCTACTAGGCAAGTTCAGTGTTTGTATTTTCATAAATAAAAGTAATTTACTTCTCATCAAGCGTATAAGGTAAATGGTGAAATAAAACCTTTGCTGAATATACGACTTGTGTTGCCATCAGTTCATGATCTTGTGCGCTTCCATCACACAACCTCAGTGCACAAAAGCTGTATCCAGTCCATGAAGATTACTTAAATATGACGGTGTTTGCTAACATTTTTTCTTTTATATTTAATAGGTTTTAGAAGAGACGGGCTTTAATATCAGTAATTACATAGACGAAAATGAATATATTGAAGAGCGAATAAATGAACAAATAGTTCGACTGTATATTATCCCATATGTGCCAGACGACACTAAATTTCAACCCAAAACAAGAAATGAAATAAAAGTGAGTTGTGTTTGTTTGTGCATTGTTATCACTGTCTATATTAATTTACTTTCTTACCGATCAAGAAAAATGAACAAAGAGAAGAAAAAGATAAAGCATGGTTGACTCCTATTTTGTTCATACAAATGTATTTCATCATTTAGAAAGAACTTATTTATATAGACTCTGTTTCAAATTTGGTATTTCTTTGTTATTTTCTTTCAATTTACCCAATGTAACCTACTTTTACATAGTGTCACTGTCATTACCATGCATCTTGTTTTATATGGGGTTTGGTGTGAGATAAGTATGGTTTCACTATGCATTTGTGAATCTGATGTATTTAGCAACTTCAGTGATTGTCCTTGTCCCAACATATCCTAAAGTGATTAGGGGTTTATATTGACTATTACCCACGGTCAGTGTTTCTCAAACTCCATCAGGATTCTTGATCTTTACTTGCAAAGTAAAATAAATGTTGTCAATATTGTGATTCTCTCTTATTAGTCTGTTGAATGGTTTCTAGTGGATGATCTACCATGCCATAAAAGAGACTCTACTCCTAAAGTAAAACTTAATATGAGTGCTAATAATTTCTTCATGGTCATACCTTTTGTCAAGTAAGTATACAAATATTTAATTTGAAAGAATACACTAAACTGTGTTGTAACATTTATGTTCCAGTAAATTTTTGACCTGTGTATATTTTGGTCAGTTTAGCTTCAGTAGATAAAATGTGCAAATCTTTCCTTAAAAAATGTACAAACACATTGTGGTGACAAGAACTGACCTATAATGTATTTTGGTTTGTAATTTGCTTTCTTTATTATGGTGACAAGAAGTATATGCACCCCATACAGACACACGTGACCTACTCAGAACACCTTTGACACATGTGACCTACTCGGAACAGCTGTACCACATATGACCTACTCAGACCAGCTTTGACACGTGTGACCTACTCAGACCACCTTTTTTCACATGTGACCTACTCGGACCACCTTTGACACATGTGACCTACTCGGACAACCTTTGACACATGTGACCTACTCAGACCAGCTTTGACACATGGGACCTACTCGAACCACCTTTGACACATGTGACCTACTCGGAACACCTTTGACACATGTGACCTACCCGGAATACCTTTGACACATATGACCTACTCAGTCTCCCTTTGACACATGTGACCTACTCAGACCACCTTTGACACATGTGACCAACTCAGACCAGCTTTGACACATGTGACCAACTCAAACCAGCTTTGACACATGTGACCAACTCAAACCGCTGTTAACACTTGGAACATGCCCAAACCATACTTAACACCTTTTACAATAATAATAATAATACTAAACATATTTATTTACCTTCATGTTTTCTTCCAGACCTCTAAAGAAGTGGATTGCAAAGAAAAAAGGCTCAGGTGATTCACAAGAACTAAAACAAACAAAACCTAAAACATCCGTCATGGCGGCCACCATGAGTGACAATAAACAAATGACAGACAAACAACTAGCGGATCAACGACGACAACGCCAACAACGGCTGTTTGCACAGGCAAATAAAAATGAATTTACGGACTATTTGGAGCTGAAAGAAGGTCCTGGGAGTGGTGGTGTGAGAGGATCGTTACCACAGCAACCAAGGGGCAGAGGAAGAGGAATGACACAAAAACAGTACAAAATTTTGGTAAGTGAATTTTTGATCTCATCCATGAATGAATATTGTTGAGGTCTTTCAATGTCTTTTTCTTTTAATAGATAACCATGTTTCTCTTCACCACAGTACTGTATATATGCAATCAATAGTGATAGAATGGATTTGTAGTGACATAATACTGTGAATCATATTAAATACCACCAGAGACAATTTCTTTGTAAATTTTATATGACAGTGAAAATCATGAAATTTTGTAGTAGTAAAAACTTCAAATTGTAGAAATACCATGGAAATCAATCGGTTTATAGTATAATGTAAACTACTGTAGAATAATTTATTTTCGCTTGGAATTTATTTTCTCGCTATTTTTGCTGAAGGGATGATTCCGTGAAAATAAAATCCAGCAAATATACATTTTTTCCTATATTTTACATTAATCTCATCAAAAATCAGTGTAAATAAATTCCAAGCAAAACGCCCAAAAAGCCTTTTCAGCGAAAATAAAGTATTCCACAGTATTTGTTGCACACAGCCATATCGTCTCAAGTATGGAGTAATATATATGTTCCTGTTAATGTGTCAATGTGTGATTTATGTATTATGTAACTCAAATTAAGAAATGAACATTTTAAAATAAGAGTACAAAATATGAAGGTTGGATATCATATGATTTCCAACACTTGAAAATTTTGAATGGTGCTGATTTTTAAATTGATAGCCCATGCATGTCTTTTATATAATCATGATCTTCTTTTCCAGGCCCGTGATTCTGGCAAGGACGCAAGGAGATCGCTATTTGATGGTAAGTGTAGCCAACTACATGTAATTATGCATGTCAAAAAGTTCCTGTTTGATGGTCAAATCCTAAGATTAAAATTAATGCTAAGTTGCGGCTGATCTGCACTGGCTTGGAAGATGAATTCTGATTGGCTAAAAAAACAAAAAAACTTGTGGCGTTGAATGCACGTTCATTGTCAGTATTGTTATGCAAATTCAAACTAGCTAATCATTTACAACCTTCCGAGCCAGTGCAGATTAGCCCCTAAGTTGACCTAAAAGTTTGCGTTTATAGTTTTTGAACTACCGGTATTGTTGTACAGACGCCATCACATAGATGGCTCATTGACCAAACTGAGTACACACATTCACAAACCAATGTCTTGTATTTTTATTTTCACACAGATAAAAAGTCAGACTTGGTTTCTGATGTCCAACCTGATACGGATCATCCTTTCACCTCTAGAGCTTTTCAGAATTTCGAGTTTGACTGGGATGCCATTTTAAAACATTGTGAGTTCCAGCCCAAACTTTTCTGACAAACTTTTCTTGGGACAGTTATTCAACATAAAAATACCTTGTACTATTGCCATCTATAGAGTCCGCATGCATGAGGAGCCAGTGTCAATCATGCATCAAAAAAAAACATACCATTATCTTTCAAGTCTAATTATAATGTATTTGAAAAATTTTGAATTTTTAAATTTCATATTTGCTCTATGATTAACACATGTGCGTACATACATGTAATTAACAAAGGTGTATCTTTGGTCAAAAAGGGTCATTTTAATAATCCAGTATACAATGAATGCACGTTTTGGTCTATGTGCTTTTTAATAGAACAAATATGGTATAGTGTTTTTTTTATTCTATATTGCAAGTGTTACAGATATAATACTGCAAAGAAATCTAGGTTATGATCTGAATTGTACAACCACATATTTTGTTGACATAAGTAACTTATTGTCACTGACTTGTCGGAAAGTCTTTCGATATCACCCAAACGAACTGGGAAAATAAATTCAGACTAAAATATTCAACACTAATCTAAAGCATCTGGATAAATAGATTGGCCCTTGCAGGCAATATATTCTATATATTGCCCATCTGAAAATTATTTACCCTATTTTAGGCTTTTCATTTGAGTGCTGACCATTATCGGTATTTTATCGGCTTTGCAGAATGGAGGATTATGGGTATGAACTGTCTGTTGGTGTTGTCATCCGCGTTTTTAATGTTAACTAACTCTGTGGTTGTAGTGTTGAGTAATTTTTATCTAGTCGTCATCAAACTTGTATATGTATAGAGTATTAAGGCTACTGTATTTGCTCAATTAATAGCGCATGTCTAGAGGAAGCTGTACTTTGACCACACATTGATTTATTTTGATCATAAACATATCACTGTTATTTATATATGAACTAATAATAGAACAAATATGGTTACCTTAAAATCTCAGCCTCATTTTATCTGGCATGCGAAAATAATTTGATTTTTGCATGTAAAACAGAACTTTGAACGAAATGTTAACAAATTTCCAAATACTTCAATTCATAACAATTGCTTTGATTTTTTTCAACATTATGCACAGACCACGACATTGGTGTCACCGAGAGGAGCGCTCTCTGAATTATTACATTTTCATTTAAAGTTCTGTTGTCACAGCTAATGATTATGTTAAAAATGTGACTGAAAAATGTCTACTTCACTTCATGCTTCTTTACTGTGCAAGACTGTGATTTGAGCCTTAAGTTTATTTTATGAGGTTATTACAAGGATACCGCAAAGTATGAATGAAGGCAGTACAGTAATCATATCAACAGACACATAGCGGAGTTCATTGTATTCCTGTACTGCCTGAGTGCATACTTTGCGGTATTTTCATGATAACTGTATTATACATCTTTTGCCTGCTTTTAGTAGTGTAATATTTTAATAAGATAATGGCTCAAAATAGCAACAAAGATCATTTTGTATTGTGCAACATTTGTTTTCAATATCTATATCTATTTTAGATGTGACATAAACGCGATGCACAATTTCTAAATTCAAACATCGTCAACAACACTTTCTCACACATTCATGCAGCATTTTATGAACAGGTAACTTCTATTGTCTGTCAGATGTATAATAATGAATGATATATGTTGAAAATGACGATGCCTTAAAGTGTGGTAGTCGTCGCGCTGTACATGTGCAAGATATATGGGTCTCATATAAACAAAGATGGCAACTTTGAGTATTGCTCAGATCAACGAGTATGAACTGGACGTTA